CTATCCTAACCTTGGTCTGATAAGCTCTAGCAGGAGCAGCTTTTGACCATAATCACTAGCCTACGCCTACCTTTCTAGATTATCGAGAACGAGCACTTCTAGAAGCTTCTACGCCTAACCTAATCCGCCCCTTCGGTCCCAACCTTTCCCATTAGTCGCACAATACAGCGCCGACTACAAAATATAGTCGAAGACCGACAGAAAGATATCCTTTGGACGCTTCCACCCCATTTAAAGCTCTCAATTAGTCTAGATTGCTAGACATCCCCCTTTCAGTAGGCATTTATGGCTATAACTAGCTATTTCCTAGACTAGAATTAGGATTATCGCGAGGTGCTACTAGGATTCGAACCTCTAGAAGGCATATATACTAGACCAAACCTTGGTTTAGTCCTATCTAAGACCCTTTAAAAGCATTAGATTCTAGACTAGGTTATAGCTATTACCACGGATAATGCGTTAAATAACTAGACGATGATTATAAGCATCCAAACTAGTTATCCTAGTCTACCTTTTATCCGTATTCCTTACCTTGCGTATGTGATTTAGCTTAGTCTAAAACAGCTTCTTGGTTAGATAAAGGCAAACCCCTAGAATGATATAGTGGAAATGGTTTAGACGGAAGAGCTTAATTAGACTACGCGGGCTCAGTAGAGGTCTAGAAAGCTAGATATTACGAATACCCTTTGTAAGGCTCGCAGTCTTGCTATCTATATTAATGTAAGCCTATAGAGACGGGATAACTTCCTAAAGTCTTAGACTAAGTAGCCTACATTAGTCCTAATCCAAGACGTCCGTACGCGTTGGAATTCGACCTATCTAATGCTTTAATAGGCTAAACGGCTTTAACCTAATCTTGATTAGTACTGCAGGGCCTTCTAGGTTAATTATTTAATGATTAATCTAGAGGAATAGCGTTAGATTGATTACCTTCTTTATCTTACTAAGCCTTTCTTCGATTTTACCTTAATTATAGCCAAAACCAAAGATATTACTATCTATGATGTCTTTAGTGTTTATAATTTGCTTTTTGAGCACCTTGAAGCTTCAATCCAGCAGTTGAGGCGGAAAAAGGTTCGTCTCCTCTATTCTCTCCCTTTTCCGATAATCTTGACTCTTGCTTTTAGCACTTTAACGTATATAACAAGGGTTAAAGTGCGAAAAATCAGAGTCACAATTAGCGGAAAAGGGATTTATTTAAGTCTCACTTACTTACTTTTCCTTCACTTCTAGGCTAGGTGGAAACGGTAGATGCTTAAAGCTCTTAAATTAGCTAAAAATAAGCTTCGAGAGTACTATGCAAAAATGGATAATCTAGAACTTAGTGATATCTATACGTATAGCACAATCCTCGCCCCTTAGTATAAGTTATAGTTCTTTTCTAGCCCCGACTAGATAGATAAAGACTATACTTCTTTATATCGAGCGAGCTTTCAAGAGCGAATAAAAGTATATTAAATAGAGAGTGATTCAATCCTAAAACCTTAGGCTTCTATCCAAGCTTCTAAGCTTGATTAATTGCTTACTTCTAAGCCTAAATCCACTAAGGATCAGGATGAATTAACCTAATATCTCTAAGGAGGTAAGCTTACTTTTTCCTCTCACTTTCCTCTCACTTTCCTCTCACTTTCCTCTCACTTTTCTCTCACTTCTAGTCTTACCTCTTATTTTACCTCTCGTCTAATTTCTTTGGTTTTACTTAGGTTTAGTCCTAATTAGCCCTTATCTATTCTAGAAAGATCATACGCATCAGTTCCCTACACTAGCATATATAGTATAGAATATTTTCTCTATCCCTACTACTAGTGCTAGTGTAGAAAGGTTATTTAATTTAGCCCAGGATATCTATTATTATCGGAGGGGTCGTCTGAATTCTTTAACTATCTAAGACCTAATAATATTTATATATACGACTAGGTTCGAGATAGAAGATCAGTAGTTAGCTTTTATCCGATCTCTATCTATCCACGAGGACGGTGAAATAGATGAACCTTCTTAGTAAATAGAAGGTTTTGAGCTAATTAGTGATACTAAGGCGGATAGGGTGGATAAGCTAGATGAGCTAGATAAGCTAGATAGGATAGATGTTTCTAGGCTATCTTCTATTCGGGCTGGTAAGAGAAGAAAGAGTGTTTTATCTAATGAGAGTGATAATAATTTGGTCTCTTTGCCTATAATTCTAGAAAGCCAGATTCGGGCCTCTAGTCGAGTGAAAAGACGTCCTCGGGGGCCTAAGGGCTTTGAAATTCTATAGAATAATATAGGTGCTATTCTCTTATTCAAACCTCACTTTCTTTTTCTTATTTTATTACCTTTCGACTGTAATTTTACCACCTAAATACCAAAGATTCCTATATAATATACATTAATTATACCTCCTTGTATTATAGGTACTCATGGGAGTATGGGAGTCCCATGGGTGGGTAGGGAAAAGGCCGTCCCATCTATGGGACTAAGGGTCGGTCCCATATCCCACCCATGGGCGGGACGGGACTGTCCTAAATGGGAATACCCATAGGTAGGCATTGACATAGCCCGCCCGTGGGTAGGAAGTCCTACCCATAGCCCGCCCGTGGGTATACCCGTGCGGGTATTGTCTTTGCCTACCCGCCCGTGAGTCATACCCGTCATACCCACGGGTACCCGTGGACACCTAATTCTGCCTGATTTGGCCTGATTTGGCCTGAATTATTATACAGATTCTGCTGATTAATCTCTGTTATTTACGTCTGTTTTGGTCGGAACAAGTAATATCACCACTTTTTAGCCTACCCACTAGGTAATTATAAGAAATAAATTTGTTTATATATATTTAAGGGTCGGTTTTATTAGTCATGTTAATATTTTAGGCGTAGAAAAGTAAGGATTAAAAAGTGGTGGTAGAAATTAGTGGTGAAGTAAAAGATATATATTTGTTGTATGCGACGGCACCACTACTTTTCTTAAGATTACCCTCACCAAAATTTTACTTTTAAAATCACTTAAATATCACTTTTTTATCTTGTATTTATAAACTAGTAGCTAAATTATTTTAATATTTCACTTAATTAAGGAAAAATTTAATTATTTTATCTAATTTAATCGCGTTGTAAAAAATTAGTTAGTAATATTACTACTTAAATACCAAAAATTACTACATAAGATGCATTAATTATACCTTTCTGTATCACGGGTTTCTTGGCGGCCCGTGGGTATACCCACGGGCGGGCCTACCTACCCCTACCCGCCCACGGGCTTGAGGGTCCTACCCGTCGCCCGCCCGCGGGCGGGTTTGGGCCTACCCGTACGGGTATACCCACGGGCATGTCAATGTCTACCCATGGGAGTGTCAATGTCTACGCGAGTTAAAGTCCTAGAGCACGTAGTAAGCAAAAAACCTAAAGATAGAGGGCTTCAAAGGCTAATCGACTAGAACTAGGTTCGTAAACGTCACCCTCTTTAGCCTCTTTAGCTATCTAAGGGTATAAAGCGACACGAGCTTTAGATAAGCTAACTAAGTGATTATATATATATTAGTAGGCGCTATTTATCGTATATATAAGCTTTCGAACTTTGTATATTAATTGGTTTAATTAAATTTAGATATAATAGCGTCTTTAGCTACAAAATGTAGTATTAGTTGTGACGGTTAGCGGGGCGCCAGATTCCGCTCCCATTGAACCATCGTTCTGCCGCTATCGACCGCCTGCCTAACTCCACCAACACCCTGCCTTTTCGAGTTTGGCGTCTCCACATGTCCCCCATTTGGGATTAGTGCCAGCTCTGGCCGCTTTTACCGCCCCAGTCGTCTGCCATCCATCTATAAAACGGCGCTCTCCCTCCTCGCGACTTGCCCACGCACTTTCTCTTCTCTTTCCTCTCTCGCCCCCCTGACCCCTTTCTATTTTGGCCCCCACCGACTCACTCGTATTCCGTCTCCACTTGACGCCCTGGCCCTTTTATTCCGCCGGAGATGCCGCTCGAACTAGCGCTCAGGCCGTTCGGGTCTGCGTTGGCGGCGACCGGCCCAGTCACTCCATGATTAAAGCATCAGGATGATGCAGTCCGCCATCATACTGCGTGATGAGATGCTGCCGATTTTATCTTCGATTCATACTATACAAAGCTTTTCAACGCCCCTTCTATTCGGGAACCTTGCTCGCGGAGCCTCTCGCTCGTTCCGCCGGTGATCTTTGCATGGTCGTCAAACGGGGCCTCGGGCATCTTCGATTCATCCGCCTTGCGTTGCGCTAGTCTGTCTCAAGTTGCATTGCACAGCCTCCCGGTGTCACAGCTGGCCCCAAGGTCCGCTTGTTCTCGAGCTCCTTGGCAATTTCCTGTCGTCATCGTCAGTCTCTCCGGACCTTTCCCACCCAATCAATGCGTGTTTGGCTTCTTACTGCCGTGATTCGAGCCAATGGCGAAAATACCGCATTCGGGCCTACCCCTATCTCATGCTATCTGATGCGTCATGCGGCCTATAGTGGATTGCGACATACACACGCACTATCCCATGATCTCCTTCTACCTAGCCAATGAGGCTCTGGCTGACAGTTTTGGTGGATCTGGGTCACGGAGAGGTATTAGAGGGTATTACGAGAAACTTTCCGAAGATCAATTTCCCCTTCTTTCTGAAACCGCTCCGGCCGTCCCTTGGATAAAGTGGCCAAGATTGGGGGAGCTAGCCAAGGTACCAACCCAAACGCGGAAACTACCGCCCCATCGGTTTATCTCTATAAAGGAGACTGTGATCCCGCTCGGATGGCATAAACGGACCAAATCCCTATTCATTTCCCTCTTTCCCTGCCCCTGTTCCCAATCCCTCCCTCCCAGTCCTAGCCCATTCCCCGTTCTACGAGTGACCCCAATTTCCTGAGTTTCGAAGATTCTCCAGCTGGCTCCTTCTCCTTAATATATCAAGTGCTAGTTTTCGCCTGCAATCCTTTCGACCATAGAATCCCTTCCAAGATAAACCGCAATCCCCGCGAGATCTAGCAGGATTTTGTCGTTATCCAAGCCCTATGTCGATCACGGCAACTCCACCTCCTTCTATTCCCCGTGATGATGTCCCAAAAAACTTTCAATGTCACCTCGACCAAGTTCAGCGACACCCCCTTCCTGCGCGCCCTCTAGTGGAGGTGTGCTTGAATGGTGGATCCCAGCCAGAAAGTCGATTAACCCTGCCTGAAGCAGAAAAACTCCAGTCAGACCTTCAATCGACTCGGTCTGAACCAGAAAAATCACAGCGAACTGTTCCTCTCCAGCAGCTTCCTTCAAAGTCCTGTCCCGGAGATGCAGTGCAGACTCAAGATATCCCAGCTACTATGCACATCGACCCTGCTATTCTGTACGATGGTTCAAGTCCACATACCGAGCACGAACCCGAAGTTGCGACCTACCTAAACGCCACTGTTTTAGACATTTGTCCTTCGCCGGAGCCACCTATTATCAACACAGATCTAACTCCGCGATCGACCCAACATAACGCAGAGGACACGGTGAAATCGAATCGACAAACCCCTCGAGTGATGAAGCGCCCGTATACTCGAAAGCGAGCGACGGGAAAGGGTCCTAATCGGCTACCTAAAATAGGGGTCAGTAGTCGGAAAACCTTTTCTTTTTCCTCGCTTCGTTCCTATTTCTTGGCTATACCAGCCGAAGAGCGTTTACAATTCCTGTCCTGGCTCTTCGAGGGTTCGTTGCAGCACTATGTCTCTCTCTCAACGAGCGTATGTAACGTAGCTACATCAAACTACACTACATACTCCCACGAAGATATAGTGCATGAATGCGCTTATCAAAACTCAAGCGGCCAGCCTACAGAAATACAGGATTTTCCTCATTATGCATCAACGTTAGAACTGGCCCACGAGGAACGGCCAAGCGAAGGAGAGGTATGCCGACCGGTGGACAATAATCAGCTCGAGTATGAGGTCGATAAGATCCTTAGACACAGGGAAGATGCGCACGGTTCCATTTCATACCTCGTCAAATGGAAAGGTTATGAAGAATTGGAGGCCACTTAGGAACCGAATGGTGCCTTGCAAGATACGACTGCATTAGAGAATTACGAGCTGCGGTTAGCCGTTGCTGCAGAGGGCGTATTTAGGTCATCATTTGCTTCTAATTGCAGTTCTAACCCTGCAACTAGACCAGCCTACTCTAGCAAAAATACAAGATTAGTCGGTGGGAGAACAAGGAAGGGTCAGACGTATAAGATAGAGGAAACACGTCTTCTAAAAAAACTGAAGGTTGATGAACAGCTTCCTTAGTCAGAAGTGTATCGACGATTCACAAAGGAATTCCCTAGTCGGACCCAGGGATCCATGCAAGTGTACTGGAGCATAAAAGGGAAGAATCTACTACCGACTTTATGATTGAGTTTGATACCGACACGTCAATGGGAAAGATCGAGTGCTCTTATTTGATTAGAGTACCAAAAAATCCTTAAGGCTACTTAAGGTTCTTGCATTGATTCAAGAATATATTCGCATAGTTAAAGCTACTTTATGATCCTGACAAGTGCATTCCAAGTGCTGCAATTACCCTTCTCTTCTCCCCCTCCCCTCCCCAGCCCTTTGTAGTAGTTGCTTGTCAATATTAATTTAAGGTTGAAGCGATTTCTTCAAGCTTTATGCTTTATGATATCTAAAGCAATGTGAGAACGCTCATATTGAAAGGTTATTGTTCGCGAGTCTCTCTTTCCAGACTCAGATAAGCATTCTATGTCAAACTTTGTATGATAGTCCAGATTTTTCTCATAAACCCCATTTTACAGCTAAAATTTGGCATGGAATATTGCGCTGTTGCTTTACTACGATGACTTTGGAGAGTAGGGTGAACGATTTAGATTGAGCTGGAATTTATATCTTGACTCTGACGATATTACATATCATAGGATTATAAAGATCAGGTCTTATTAAAAAGAATTGACTCACCTGCTTATCTTCATATAGCCTAAGGGTAAAAATCCCTTTGGTGTGCAAAGCCGCCGAAGAGCGTGGGCCACGTCGCAATCCTAAATATAGCTGATGTTACTTTTATGGGGAAGTTCAGATCTAAAATCTCTAGCATCAAGCTCAGGCTCAGACTTAGTGAGCACTTAGAGGATGCTCAGGGGACGCTCAGAGGACGCTTAGAGGACGCTCAGAGGATGCTTAGAGGCTAATCAGAGGATGCTCGGTCATCCATCACCTACCTAGCACTCAACAGCGCCTAGGAGCCCCACAAAGAAATTTGATTCCCCTAAATAGCTTTCTGATGTCCTGATCATTCCCTCACTTCTCCTGTTCCTTTTCCATTAATTCTAATTCCACCTCCCACCTCTTAAGTTTGCATTCATCTAAGGTGACGCAAAAATGAAGGGCACAAATTTCCTCTTTATGCTACAGCAAAAACGATGACGCGCCATCTCTTAGATATTTAAAATAAGCTTTCTCGCTTACCTAGATGCAATATTTTCACAGTCTTTCATACAACACATACAGGCATTATCCCAGTATAATAGCGTCTTAATTATTCTAGCATTTCCTTTCTAGCACGTTCTTGGGCATTTACTTAGACATACTTGGAAAACTACCATCGACTTACCATGAGATCGCTAAAATTCAACGCCGCAGAAAAGTCGAACACGACCTATATAGCTATAGTAAGGTATTTGGACCCACTACCTATAGAGCTTATTATAGAACAAAGACGAGAGCTTCAAATAAGAACAAGAAATTTGACAAGAACAAGAACAAGGGGACAAACAGTACCAGAAACATATATACAAACGTTCGAGAACATGGAGTTCCCATGTAACTACAACGGTCGCCTTCTAGTAGATAGTGATTGATCTACTCGGAGCTTCTCTAAGTATTACAGCGTAATACTTTAGGTCAAAAATGAGTTCTTGACAACATAGCTCCAGAGCCTCGCATCGCAAATTTAGTTGACGGACGCCCAGCGTAAAATGAATTGGTATGTGGAGGGAGCAAAATCTCGGTGGACTTAGATGGAAAATGCAAACGGCTATCAGACTTGACAACCAGAAAGACGCAGTGCAAACTTAATAAACTTTGCTAACAAACATTATTTTATTCCAGAAACCCTCGTCCATATATTCTAAAAATAAACGTGCTTATAGAAGCTATCGCGTCACATACGACGACGATTTACACGTACTGAATGTACTGTGTTTAGATATACACCGCCACAGCCAGCTCTATATATTTTGCGTTAAGTATTATAACGAAAGCACTATGTCTCAGCTTGTAAGCTATGTCTATTAATGACTACGTTGTATTACTTAATTAGAAAATTCATAAGATCTTATAATTAATTACAGCAAGGCTAGCCTAGTACCGAAAGTTCAGCACCAACAATAACCCAATATACATGTGTTACTCCATTGTGAAAATTTAGTATAATGTTAAGCCTAGCTATGCTCATTCCCGATCCGAAAAACCAATTGATCACACCTCACAACTGCCGTAATCAGTATGAAACGGTGGATTGCTCACTCTAAATTGCTCACCACGAATTACTCACCACGAATTGCTCACCACGAATTGCTCACCACGAATTGCTCACCACGAATAGAGTAGCTAGCTACCAGTTCCTCAAAGATTTATCCAATTTCTATTTATTCAGCTCTTGTGAAGAATCTTTCATACGTCAATCGGATTGATCGGTACTTTTATTTGTGCTATGCTGAATACCCGCGCAGCTTTGTCTGATCCCTTGAGCTTTGCTCAAGGTCGTTCTATAATAACGTTAGAACCAAGGAGGCCGTTAAGCTACAGTTCGGCGAAATGTCACGTTGAAATCGTCGTGTCATCGGATTGCAGCGGCTATAGTAAGCTCACGATCTTGATGGACGTCCATAAATTTCTGCTAAGGGCACCCTTAAAGAACTTGAGCCACTAATCAAACACTCAATAGCTTCCTGAGACTTTTGACCACAAGTGAGACGCAAAAAAATGATGCTCTATGCTCGCTTAACAACTTACCTATCTCCATTCACAAAACGACGAGATTTGAAGCTCTTCAAATATGCATCTATAACAGCTAGCCTATGTCTATAAAATCGTCCGCTTCATTAGCATTATTAGCTACATTATTCGATAATATTCCAATCATAACATTCCAAGATCTAATTCGAGGCGGCAATTTGAACATAGCGGCTGCAAACCCCTCCCAACCGCATCGATCCTCTTTGAAAAGAAAATTAATACGCCAAAAACAAAGCCGTCGAAAATTAAATCTGATGAAGAAAGCATGCGAATATAGTACGATGTTTGAAGCAGACGTCTATTTAGGGATACGACTTCGGGAGACGGGTTAAGTGTTTATCCTGTCAGCGGATGCTTCCGGGTTTTAGGGATTTCTTAGATCACAACTAGTATACTGCTAAGTGACAATTATAAAACAATACGGCTGACCATCTCAGGGCTCCTACTATCCCGCGCCTTATTTAATCACAGACCGGGATTTAAAGACGGCTGAAAACCTCGTTGTGAAATAAGCAAAAAAAGAACTAAGTTCCTAAGTGTAGTCTATTTATTTCGGATTTACAAATTGGCATCAAGAAGCTAGGAAATCAAGTATTCTCACTAAAATTAGAACAATCAAAATGGCTTTATCTTAACATGACTACTCAGCTAACAGTTGGGACGCTAATTTGCTTCAAACATCAGGCTGACGGATAAACTAAGCCACTTCTCTAGACGACGGCTTTGAGGTTATGCACATAAAACAGAGTTTTGCTTACTCGTCTAGAGCATTTATGACCTAACTAAATCTTAGTAGGCTGCCTGACGAGAGCAGTGGATTCCGCAAACGGCCTTAGTCATTCTGTATCTAGTCTCTAAGAATCTAACGGCTTTTTCCGAAGTGTTTCTTCCTAAGTATAGATTCTCATTTAACTCCACAAAGCCGAGAGTAAATATTGATTAACCTAAATTTGCGAATACTGCTTTTAGTCGTTCAAATCACGTGGCATCGCGTTTTCACTTTCGCCCCTTTTACTATAGGCAATGACCTAAATGGCTTTCACGCCACGTGCACCTAGATATGTAAAGGCGCGGATTTACGCTCAGCAGAAGAGGCCGCCAACTAGCTCAAATGGGAGGTAAGAAACACGAATCTATTATATACCCTTATTTTCGCTGACTTAAGTACAGGTATACAAGATCTCGCTTCCAGCCTCCTAACAGCCAACTAGATTCTCCGCGACACTCGTCTTCTGCCATCCTACTCGGGACCTGCATCTACTCATATCCGCCATCATATCAAATGATTTTGGCTTCAAACGAATTCAGCCGCTGCTCAAAATATATCTTGGGGGGGGGGTATCAATAGTTAAATATATACGGAATCTTGTGGATGTTGCCGCTACGGATGCTTTCCCCTCTCACCACCCCCTCTCCTCTGAGAGCGATAATCTCTTCCCTATAGCACACTCCATTATTTAACAAGCAGCTTCGCGAAATCCTTGGAATATCGCCAGGATGATGACAGGGTCCTCAGGTCAGACCTTGGGCACCTATACGTAGGACTCCGGCATTTCCAACCAATCTTTCTTAGGGACGTTATTAGTCTTCGATCAGCATTCGATGCGGTATTTGAAAATGCACGGAAGGCAGTAATGCGCTATTTTATGGTAGATGGAAGGGATAGCCAAAATATAAGAACCCAGAAGACACTTTTAGGTGGTGACGACCGATATATATACCTACATTAGAGCGATCGGCGAGGTTTTGAATGAGGAATTCCCTCGCTCTGCGTGGTTATTAATCGGGGATAATATAGCTTGGACCATACGCTCACGTTTGAACCTTGTTTGCACCGTGATTATAGCTACGGTCGCACAGGGCGTCATCCTGATGGTATATTCCTCTCTTATCCGCAGAGCCTTGCATCAGCATTCATTCCACTAAAGATACGAGAGGCCTCTATCACATATATGCGATTGTCTTCTATCCAATCTTTTACATCGGCGGTGGAAGGTGCGCTATTATCATCAACACGATGATAATCCTAA